CTAATGAAAAATTAATATGCCACACTCGTTACGCAAAATAACTTGTGACACACAAATCGCTGCGGAGAGATAAACAAAATTTGACATACTTTCGGTTGAGTTTTGAGGAGCGCTGCGCCGCCCACATAAAAGAATAAACCATTATGAATAAGAAACTCTTTTGTGGGGCCTGAACTTTGTTAATTACTTGCTCCCAGGCTGCTGCTGCTGCTGCGCTTACAAAACATTAAAATATTTTATCAGTTCCTGCGGTCGCTTACAAAATATGCAATGCCTCCGTTCTCTCTCTCTCTTCTGGAGTTCTTCGAATTTTGAAACATGTTTCCAAATGCGTCGCGTTGGCCTTGTCTCGTTAATCAGCTGCCAAGTTTGTGTTTGTTGGCAACAAAGCTCTTTGCTCAGCTTTTACGTCTGTGTGTGTGTGTGTTTGTGTGTGGGCGTTCGAATGCTGTCTGCCAGGTCTCCAAGCGGAAGCGTTGCCCGTTTCGCCTTTTGTTTTCACTGTCCCATGCGTCGTATGAGTGATGTATGTGACATCTGTGACGCGCCCGGCTCGGCCGCCTGCCCTCTGTCTCTGGCCCAATATCTCGCTCAAGGGTTGTCCACTTTGTTCAATATTTCACAATGTGTCATCGAAAGTAGGCTTGTTGCTGTCTCGCCTGGGCAGCTGCTCGCACTTTGTGTGCAGTGAAAGTGGGTCATTTAGCTTAGGCACTTTTAATGGCCTTGTTGGGGTAGGTGGCCCCAGAAGTTTCTGGGTCGCATGAAAATCACTAAACACATTTTAACGAGCTTTTGAAGGCTACTTTTTAAGTAACTACACAACGAGTTTGTGCAACATCAGCTGTTCAGGAGCCCATAAAAACACTATTCTGTTTTTCACAGTACGCCCTCGGTCAATGCAACCCATTAAAATCAGATAAATTATGAATATTGGGTTTTTGTAAAAAATGTTAAATATTTCTAGTAGAATTAAAAGAGAATCCTTTCGCTGGAACTGAAATTAAAGTAAATCAATTTAAACTGTATATTTGAATCATAATTTTGTTTTATTAAATTTGTTTATTCAATAATCTGCATAATAAAAGTAGCGTGTATCAAGGGGCTGTGTTTACCAAGGGCGTACTGTATCTTTAGGAGATGGTTATGATGAATTTTATTTGTTTCCAAAATAAAAATCTTATTTAGTGATGCTGGCCTGATGGCGGTGATGGCATTTATTATTATTATTATTATTATTATTATTATTATTATTATTATTATTATTATTATTATTATTATCATCATCATCATCATCATCATCATCATCATCATTTTTATCATTATCTTTATCATTATCATTATTATTATTGCAATTATTAATTATTATTAGTATTATTACTATTTCTTATATTATTTTATTATCATTATCATTATTATTATTATTTATATTTGTATCATTATTGGTATTATTATAACTTACCCTCGACTAAGATTGGAACATGCTTTGCCTTTTTTAGCATTTTTCTATCACAACTTTTTATATTTTGCATATTCCAGTTAAAGTTCTACTACATTAGAAGATATCTGTAAGACTCATTATTTATATGTAGAGCGTAGTTTTTTCTTATTTTTTTGTTGGGCGCAATTCAATTTGGCTTTCAGTTATTGAACCTTCTCACTCGCTGCCTTCTCAGTTGTCCAGGCGTCAGCGCACTCCACTCATCTGCTTAGTCTTTAAGTCCACTCATCGGCGCACTGGAGTTCTGACTGACTTCCTCAAGCACCAATACGTTATCGCCTCTGAAGATCTTTGCTGGCATTGGCTCTTGCCCCTGTCAGACTCTCTGGATGGACGGGGGACGTCTATCAGCAGTACTCCCAGAGTCCGACTCATTCAACTGGGATGGACGCAGCGGGGCGATGTTTCGATTGTTTTACGATTCGCAACTGTTGTTGTTGTTGTGATTGTTGTTTTTGCTGCTGCTTTTGCGGTGGCTGTCAATAATGTGTAAGGATAATTTTTATTTTAGTCATAAGACAAGCTGCAAGCGACTTTTATCGCTGCAATCTGGGGCCGCGTCTTCGTTTGCATGCGAGGCAATTTATTAATTATGCATAAATGCCACACTCGGTCTGGTCTAAAGAGGGCGGAGGGAGGCATCAGTAGCAAGGGGGGGGTTCTTACGTCGGAAAGTTCAAAAAGCAATCAACGGCAGCGTCTCGAGTGGCGACAGCCAACAGTTCTCATTTCGCAGTACTCTGTATCTCTGAAGTTCTCGTTCGAGTGTACAGTTATATGTGTATATATATATGCACATAAACAGATCTGAACGAGGAGGCGCTGAGTTGAGCGCCTTATGGCCTCATATTGGCCGCTTTTGGCCAGTTAAGCCTGACAAATACAATTTGACTACACAGCGCGTTAAATTGATTTACCTAAAATGGAAGTCGAGTCTTTTGTCATTTCATTTCAGAGATTTTAATGTGCGATTTCTTGGCGAATATTCTGCAGAAACAATTTCGCTGGACCGCTTTTAAATTGCACGCCTCGTCAGATACCTATATAATAGGTTTCTCTTTTTCGATTTATAGATGCTGCACCATAAATTATACGAAAATGTCTAGTCCGCATCCTCTGTCTGCAAAAGCCGCTGCCAAAAAAATTGAATTTCAAAAAACCTTTGAGTCAAACAATAAACCTAAACTAATGCCGAGTCCCATTCCGTGGGCTGGTGGACGACAGACACACACAGGGTCAGAGCTACCCGGTACCAGTTACCATTTACCATTTAACATTTACCAGCTACCTGCTAGCTGTCTACATTTATCTAAACTGCCCAGCGATCCTCAAGCAGCAGTGTACCATGTGTTCTTAAGTGGCTCCGGCTCGTCGTCTACACCCTAACACCATTTTTTTTCTTTGGTTTTCGTAAAGTTTTAAATTTCTTGGAAATAAAAGCCTGGCCATTAGTTTTCGTCCTTCTTCTTTTCCATCGTATACGCTCGGCTGCCTTTTTATTCTTTCGATACAGGACAGGCAAAATTTTGCAGCTACATATGGAGTACCTAGACGAAAAATCTAAGACGCGTCACGCCTGCATCGTTTTTTTTTCTCCCGATGTACTCTCATTGTGACGTAGGGCATTCTGAATTGTCTATGCACTTTGCAGTTGATGGCAATGGATCTCTTGAGCCTGATAATGAAACGATACTTGTTCGCTTAGAGCAGGACACCCTCTCAGTGGTGGGAGCATAATGTCTATCTGTATGATCTATTGGTGGACTATTTATCTATATATATTTTGTGATTTTTCTTCATTGAGCGTATTTACGCTTCGACTTGAGCGTTCTGTTCTCCTCTCCAGTTATCGCTCTCGCGCTTATCCCCACGTAACCGTCGTTGAGCCGTTCGCATCCGTCCCGCCGTCCAACTGTCGGGTTTTTGGGCTTCACTTGTCCCTCATACGCCACGTTGTTGTTGTTGTTGTATTTGTTGCTATTGCTGTGATACGAAACCGTGCAGGTGTCCAATATTTTCTTTTATAACGCGTCATTGGGTTGAAGAGAAATACGTACATGCATACATATATATGTACATATGTATACACATCCATACTATATATGTGTAAGAAAAAACAAGAAAGAACGGCTGTCACCGGCTCGCCGAATGTTAGATACCCTTGCAAGTATTTGGCTTTTCAAAAAAGAAAAGTATAGCTCGTGAGTATCTTGTATCTTTTCAGTCACATTTGGTATAGGTTTTTTAGCATAGAGCTATATGTTATTTTGGTACGATCCTGATAAGAATTGGCTCATACGTAAATGCTCTAGTTTTCTTGATAAACAAAAAGTTATTTATACAAGTACATACTCTCATTTCGAACGATCGTTCCTATGGCAACTAAATTATATAGTTATGTTCATTGAGTTTCCCCATTATAACTAGATATCCTAATAAGCAAAAAAGTTGTTAATACATTAACATAGTTATCGACTGATCGTTCCTATGGCGGCTTTATATAGTGGCCTGATGTTGATAAGGTTTTGCATGTATCTAATTCTAATCTTCAACCTTATTAATGTCAAGCTTAGACAAGATATCTTGAAAGACAAACAGGGTTTTAACACAAGAACTAAGTTTTGGACTAATGAAAGTTACTATATAGTGATCATCTTTAACTACAGTCAACATACATATGCATGGCGTGATCATGTTGACTGGGCTGTTGATAATCAAGAGTATATATGTATATATACTTTCTGGGCGTTACATAATTGATGAAAAAATTATAATACCCTCTACAAGGGCATAAAAAGCAAAACTAGTTCTAGATTTACAGCCGCAACCCGTCGACTACTTCGGCTTTCGTCGTTGACGTCGACGTCGCCGTCGCGGTTGCCCCCTTTTCCTCCTCCTAACCCCAAAGCCAACGTCTCTGAGCGTCGCTTTATTTCGCCCATATTTTCGATTCGATTGCGTATAACAAGTTTAGCTGTTCGGTTCTCGTTCCCGCGACTGCGCCCGCGCCCCCTCTCCCTTTACCGAACCCTCCACGATCCGTTCTTTAACTTTATAAAGTGCTTTGCATCCATGCAACGTTTGCTGTGTGTATGTCTGTCTGTCTATCTGTCGCCCCCTTCCACCCGCCCGCCACACCTTCCTAATGCTTTTTCTCCACTGCGCTTTCTTGTTGTTATTATTGTTGTTGCTGCTCTTGGATTTTTAATTTTTGTTTTGATTCTTCGTTTTTGTGCTTGTTCTTTTGTGATTTTGATTAATATTTTATACATGTGGCTGGGTTATGGTCCCATGCGGTGACGCGGTCGCGGCCGTGGCCGTAGCCGGAGTGTGGTGCGGTTGGCCGTCCGTCCGACTCCTCGTCTGTCCCATGTAATTACCCAAATTTGGCGTCACTTGCCGTTAAAGGTTTTTGGGCTTGGAGAAATAGACAACGGTATACTGGACTTAAATTTTATTTATGGACTTGCGTTACGTTACAAAAAAGGCATTAGCTATTGGCTTCTAAGAAGGGGTGGAACCTCGCAGCGAGTTTTCTAATCGACTGGGCCTAATATGAGCCAAACGATCAGTTCTCAACTTCGTTGTAACCCTTGTGTTGCAACTCGACTGCTTGCCAAAAGGTGTGCGATCCGAGGAGCTCCAGTGGCTCGACAAACCTTTCGAAGGGATAACCGTGGGGCAACTCATCCCAGCTGCTGATGCCGTCACCAAAGTCACAGTACATCTCTTGGCCCTGCCTCGCCTTATAGGTATAGGGCGTGGCCAGTATCAGGAGTCGCATGGAGAGCGGTTTTGCCGTGCCGCCTCGGGGCAAGATCAGACGTCTGGGAAAGCCGCAACTTGGTGTGGTTATGTTCAGAGGAAAGTCATATTGTTCCTGTTCCGCCAAGCTCAGGTAATGATAGAGCTCTGTAAAGCTAATGTGATCGCCGATGTTGCCTAGAAAGTCTCTAGACGCTCGCCGTATTGTATTATTGCCCTTATAAAGTATAGTTAGAAAAGAATCCAACTGGTAAAAGGGCTCCTCATTGATGGCGCCCCCGGATGTGGTGAGATACGTTCGCAGAATAACTGACTGCGTCCTATTGCTTTCCAAGTGGAAAGTGATCGCAAAAGGTTGCTGCTGCAATCGATGTCTTCGAGCTTGCAGACTGTGTGGCCACATAAAATGCTTCTCATAGAAAAAGTTTCTTGCATGCAGTACGTTGCTGAGATCCACATCAACGGGCTCGTCAAATGTGATCAGCGGATCAACTAAAACCTCCTGAATGCTCATACCGATAGGTCTCACGGACTGATGGTAGCTCGGTTGAAACTCAGTGCGATAGGATCGATAGGCACGGATTAATCGATCGGCATATGAGTAAAAGTTGGGCTCCCGTAGCATTGTGTGCAGCTCCAATAGCTGCTGCGACTGTCCAGCGAATGGCAGCTGCAGTTGACTCAAATCGTATGGAAAGAGCTCATCTAGACCCAAAAGCCAGTTCTGATCCTTGCGCAGATCGAGCACTGTGCCGTTGGATAGACGATAACTTTGTGTGGCAATCGATTGCTCCACGTCCAGCTGCAGTTGGTGCAGCAAATCTGTAAGATGCTGCCGCGTGGCCTCACTCTCTGGCTGATAGCGTTGACTCTGCCAAGTCAGCCAGTGATATTTCCCTTGCTCCTGCATGGACAAGCGTTTGTATTCCATTCGCTGTCCGTAGCGTTCCAGCTTGTAGCGAGCCAGTATCTGACCCAAACGCCAGTACCACCAATCCCGAATTCGCGCAGTTTCCGGCTGTTGCTGCTGTAGAGTCACGCCCATGTTGATGTAGTACCAATATGCCAACCAGCCGTGGTCTTCGATTAGGTGGCCAAGTTTTTGTTCAGCTAAGTTTGTTGCCGTCAAGCTTAAAACCTGCACTTCAGACATTGCTTCGGACCACTTGCTCGTACTACCGCGCAGGTCTCCTGTCATGTTTGTGGGCAGCAGCCTCTTGGGCAGCACCAGTTGTACGTGACTCTCGTTCCCACTGCCCATCAGATGTTGCCTGATCCAATTGATATAGTTAAACTTGCTCGCTTCCCGCACTACCCGCTCACTATGATAGGGCGCCGGCAGCAGCTCATAGATCTTGGGCATAATCAGAGGTTGGTAATCCTCTCGCTTGAGCATGGTTTGCATCAGAGCGTGCAGAAAGAGAGCCGGATTCACATGCAGCCTAGCCCAGCATATGTTCTGCATGAGAGTGCTCCATTCGCGCGTGTTGTAGAAGAAGTGAAAGAGACCCAAGGTTTCCCGATAATGCTCCGGCTGCTGTGGATTATAGTATACGTCCCTGGGCAATAGACGTCCCGTGCTTAGGTACTGATAGAACTGCCGCATATGATCGTTGTAGTGCTGTCAAGCAAAGCAAGTTATACATCTGATCTAGTTTCTTATTTTATTATTAGCTTATCACTTACCACATATTGACTTTTATCGCTGACAATTTGCTGACCCAATGCTATCCACTGCTCGTGTAGCAGAGGCTCTTGCACATGATGCAGAATCTCCAGCATGAAACGCTGCTTGTTCAGATAATATTGGTTGGCTGTCGATGATAAAAATTGTAATCATATTTTACACGCAGCCACGCCGTTAGCTACCCACCTATGTTGCCCGGAAAAATCGCCTCATTGTGGCTCAGCTGGTGCAAAATATTGATAAGTGATAACACAAAGGCAAATCTCATGGCACTTGCTTGCGTTTGACAGCCCCAAAATATACTGAGCTTGGAATTTGTTGACAAACAACTGGCAAGTCAGACTGCAGTGGACTAATCGCAATGAACTATTGACTTTTCGCGGCATCAGAATTTCTTGAGGGGGCATCCGAGAGTCGTCACGTGAATCCAGGTCCATTTCAGGCGATAATTTGGGCCTTATTTTGAATAAAAATCTTAATTAGTTGATTCAAGGTATTATATATATTAGTATCATTTAGCTTCCATAGAAACGATCGGTCGAACAGGAGGTTCTTGCATTTTTTAGTTTCACTATGTTATATTATATATACGAAATCTACTTAACATCGGAGTACTATTTCGCATTTTTGTTTATTAACTTATCTTGATCAAACTCGACATTTATTAGTTTACCTACCCGTATATATGCGAAATCGGATCACTATATCGTATGACTGCCATCAGAACGACCGGTCGAACAGTAAATTCTTATATTGCAAAATATTATATTTTCCAAGGAATTAGAAGTGTTAGTGTGAAATCTTATTAAATAGTTGTTTACCTTATAATAGTTAATCTATTTTGTGTGGTTTGATAATCTTAATAATCGTACAGTTCCCACGCTTTACGCTCATCTGTAAGCATACGTTAGCAGCCACTGTACTGACAACATCGCGAATTTCTGCAACAGACATTGCCATTTGTTTATTAGTCATCAAGAGTGGAAATGAAATGTGAAAACATTTTTGTTATGATTTTTATTTTATTTTTTTTACTGTGTTGCTGCTGTTAACTACCTCGGATTGTCTCCACATCCGTTGCCACCGCCTCCTGCTGTCTCGGATCACTCGTGTTGCTGCCTCACAAATGTGCGCACATTAAAGTCCAGCTCAGCTGGGCTGAACTCCAGTGGATAGCGGAAGAAAGGGGCAAATTATAATGCGAAAAATGTTAATTACAGTCACTTGGCAGTCGGCTCGACTTGGCTGGGCCCAGATATGGGCATTGTGTATGGGCCTTTTGTAACGAAAAATTGGCGTATTAATGTAAAACGGCGGCCAGGCGTAACGGATAATAGGAACTCGTCCGATGCGTCGAGCAAATTAACGGTCACTTACGAATATATATACAAGTATATATTATTACACATGCGCTGGGGCTCTTTGTTTGGTCTTCTTCTTTTTCTGCTGCCTGATAGGTGACATAGTCGTATGACAAGCGCTTGGCTTGGATAAGCTTAATGACTCGGAACTGTCAATGCAGAATTGCCTAATAGGGTGCACAAAAGAAAATGTTTAATTTTATTGTTAGCCCCCTTAATTTTCAGTTTCTTTGTTTTTTAATTGATTCTTATTATTTTTTTTTTAATTTTAACGATAACCAATTACATAAACAAATATTGAAATTGACAATTGCTTTAGATTTGAGCCGGCGACTTCATATTTCTTAGTTCAACGCTTAGACAGCAAAGCCACACGGCTCATAAAGGGAAGCTACAGCTTATTTTTATTTGATTCATTTTCATTTTTCTTATGTCGATAATAACAAATTGACTAGAACAAACCTAAAAATTGACAACTGCCGTTCGATTCGAACTGGTGCCTTCACTTTTCTTAGTTCAACTCTTAGACAGCCAAGTCTCACTGTTGTGTTGTTTATGAAGGTTTTCATATTTGGTAGGATAAACTTAATGGCTCGGAACCGAATCGCCTAATAGGTTGGACAATGGGAAAACTCTTTATTGATATTCGGCTATGCTTTAAAAACAATTTTCGCTTTGACTCATGACAAAGAGCCCAACAAGCTCGTTAACTCAAAAGACCGTTACGGCTGAGACCAACTGCAGCCTCATGAAAACTGATTACAAAATGTTGCCCCCCTGCTTGGGCCTCTTTTTTTTAGTTAAGAACATACCCTTTCCATTGGCCGTGGCCAAGTGTTAACTAAACGTGACAAAAGTCATGGCAAATGTTGTCTAATCATCGCAGAAGGCCTTCGCCATGTGCGCAACATGAATATAAAGTGGATGAGGCTGATGACAAGAGACAAACGCTCTCTGTTCAGCCCATAACTGATCGCACAATGATTGCAAATGCAACAGCAGCAACAGCAACAACAACAACAATCTGGAATTATACAAAGAACTTGCATTTATCGAGCGCCGCACGTGCAAAGGGCCAGGCAAATGATTTTGCATTTTTTTTCTGGTTTTTTTCTTTTCTAAAGAGCCAGCGCCTGGGTCTACGGAACTCTTGTCTTCGATCACGAGTACTTTGCATAGTATTAGCGCTGAACTCTGTTTTGCTGCAGCGAGAGGGCGCAGAGAGGGGCCAGTGACAATCTTATCACATAATTTCCATAGTTTTGCAATCATCAAAAACGCATAAATCGTTTTTTGTCTCAAGCCCTCGAGGCGTGCCGCGCTCGGGTTTCTCTAATGTCATCATTGGGCGCACTTTTTTTTGTTCCTTGCTCAGAAGCTTATAAAATGCAAATTACTATTCAATAGGCATTTTTTTCTGGCTAGTAGAGAACTGGCTTACCCCTTGGCCCGTCGATCGGCGACTTTTTCTCACCTTGTCGCGCCTCCCTTTGTCATCGCTCGATTGCCCCCTTTTAGCGCATTAGAATTGTATTTAAAAAGTCATTATCAGTCCCCTTGGCGAGTGTGTGGCACATTAATCATTTGCGCCTTTGTCAAAGTTTTTATTTATTCATATATAGGTATGCATAAATATTATTTTTTGTTAATACAAAAGTATAAGAGAACATATAAATTGTATCTTGACAATGTTGATTTTACTAAAAAGTGCAAATTATTGTACGGTGAACGCTCGTTAATTAGAAATATATTAGATAATATCGGTCAATAGAAATATTTCTTATTATTATGTTTAATTTTATATTTATCTTTATTTATCTATTAAATGTTTTGTAAGTTCGCTTTTGGCTTATGCGCTACTTGTGTTTCTTTGGATACAAATTTATGGGAAAAACAACAAAACACCCTCTTTGTAAACTTATAGACTCCAAAATTTAAGAGCATTGTAGAATACAACTGTCAATTGCGTTCATAATTAAATAACTTTATTTTAATAAACGATAGTATAGTCAAGAAGAATGATATTTTTGAGCTTATTATTATTATTATTATTATCATAATCATTATTATAATTATCATTAATATTATTATTACTATTACTATTATCTTTATTAACATAATTTTTATTGTTAATATGATTATTTTTATCATAATATTCATTATTATAATTATCAATATTATTATTTAGATTACTTTCATTATTATTATTAATATGATTATTATTAATATTATTATTATCATTATCAATTACACTAATATCATTATTATTATTACACATTATAGTGTATTAAATATATTATTAAACTATTTACAAAAACAAAAACATTCTAAATGATAAAATTATGAACATTATAAATACCTCTGGAGCCTAATTAAGCTTATTAACGAGTGCTCACTGTACAAAACCTTATTTAATGATGAAAACGTATGTCGCAGAATATGTTTATTTAAGAGTTCAAGTTTGGAAATTCACAATAAGTGTGCTTATCAGATGTTGATTTATTAACAAAAAATTTAGATAATAATTATTCAAAATAAAATAAACTTTAATAAAATTTTACAAAGTGTAAAAACAAAAAATATGTATAAGTTGCATTGCCGTCCATTATTGAAAACTAGCAAGTAATTTTCCACGAGTTAGCTTTTTCAAATACTTTGTTGGCAATGAGCTAAAAAAATAATAGAAGAAAACTAAGATATTGTCTGCCTACTGCTATGCTCCGGCATCTAGTTTCCGCAACTGCTGAGCTCAGTTACTCACATTTCTCATCGATGCTCAGACAACATTGTCAGAGCCAATGCTCGTGTCCGGAGACTCGCGTTCTTGAAATGGCTAAGGTCTGACGCATAGAGGCCCCAACGGGCAGTCAGTGGTGCATACTTTCGCATACCCCAAACGAGCGGCCAATGCGACCGACAGCCGGTGGCGAAATGTAACCAAAATGAATCATCGATGAAGTCGCAAGTTTTTAAGCAGCCGCTGAGCCATTCCAGCGGCCTGGGTGGCGATTGGTAGTCGCCCTGCCCGCGTTTAATAAGCCATGCGACACACACCAAAAATTGGGTCAAGTGAGATAAATGCATAAACACCATATTTACAAAAAAAAAAAAAACAGAAGGTGGGGGAGAAAAAAAGTAAGAAAAGCACTGCACACAAAGAAAGAAAATTTTTGCTGCCCGTCTGAGCCTCGGAAATTTAATACACAGACAGTTGCTCCAAGTTGGCCGGGAACAATGGATGGGCTTTCATGCGAACTGTCAACTTGTCACGACAATTAAGCAACCCGATGACTATCTGGCTATCTATCGTTAAACGTATTTTCCCCCATACTCCATACCCCATGCCCCATGCCCGCAGTCACTGTCACTCTTCAACTTTGACGCCCACGCGCGCAGGCATTAAACAAATTAAAGTGGAGAATTATTGAAATATGATATTGAAAGACGACAGAACCGAATCTGATTTCTGGACAGGTAGCCCGACCCAATTCGCGTTGCACTTGCGTGTCACTTGATTAAACAGAGTTAAGTTTTTTGTTGGATCCCAAACCCTCGCCATTGCCCCACACATCAAATTGTTTGGTGGCCGTGGGGCCGCCTTGTCACCTTACAAAGAATCAAAATTTAAAGCTCTTCTTCACCCAAAATTCTCAACGTTCCGTTTACCAATATTTGTTTACCATTTAGTTTATTATGCTGCGTACGCCGCGGCACTGTGTTTTGTTTGATTGCCCTTATTGGGGGCCTCCTCGGAGTTCGAAGTACTACATAATTTCCAATTCGAGTTATGATTATTCTGCTTATGTTGGGAAAGTCAAATAACGGACGCTAAGGTGCACGCCAGGGGCATTACGTATACACAAATTGTCGTGCATAATTTCGGATTGATGAGTTTTCAATCAGCCTG